CCATATGCTTTTCAACCCCTGGCCAGCAATACTAATACTTTGAAGAGATGAAAGCCCATCTAGACTTGGAACCGACTCCAGACTATCACAAGGCCCTATAGACAAGCTCTGGAGACTCGTGCAGGTAGATAAACTTCCCCCTATGCTTTTCAACCCATGGCCAGCAATCCTAATGATTTGAAGAGATGAAAACCCATCTAGACTTGGAACCGACTCCAGACTATCACAAGGCCCTATAGACAAGCTCTTGAGACTCGTGCAGGTAGATAAACTCCCCCTTATGCTTTTCAACCCATGGCCAGCAATCACAATACTTTGAAGAGATGAAAGCCCATCTAGACTTGGAATCGACTCCAGAGTACCACAAGACCCTATAAACAAGATCTTGAGACTCGTGCTGGTAGATAAACTCTCCCCTATGCTTTTCAACCCATGGTCAGCAATATTAATAATTTGAAGAGATGAAAGCCCATCTAGGCTAGGCATGGACATCAGATTTTTACAACCCCTAATGGTTAACGCTTCCAGATTAGGACACGTGGAGGCAAATAAACCATCACCAATATCCCTCAATTTCCCACATGCCTCAAGGCACAGTGTACGAAGGTATGGTAATTCAGTCAACGAGGGAAGACTTTCTAACTTCCAACAGCAGCGTATGCATATTTCTTTGAGAGACATTGTGGCAAGTGTTCCAAACCCTATACTAATCAGTTCATTACATTCATCAATAATGAGTTCCTGAAGACGTGAATCTGCAATACTTTTCAAATTCTTGCATCGTCTGATTTGCACCTTTGCGCCACTGCTGAGTGAAAGTGGTGACACGCTTTCCAATTCATCTAAGCCGCAAATGATCAGCTCCACCAAGTTGCTTAGTGAAAGTGATGGAATAATTTTCAATTGGTGAAAATGATAAAGTCTCAATGACAACAGATTTTTGAGATGAGTTGATTCACCCAAATTACCAAGATCGCCCAACATCCATGAAGGACACTTTTCACCACAATAATTACTAATTCTTAGGCTTTTCAGGTTTGAGTGAGGTTGGAGGCCTTCCAAGACATCTTCATCATGTTTCCTTCTTTCTTCTGATCTACATTCTGGTGAGTACACCTGAGCCAGACTAGACTGCCTCCCTAGAAAGAGTTCATTTATTATTCTGTTAAAATCCAATGCCAACTTCTGAATTGCAGTCTTTTCAGAAAGTTTTGCCATGATAGCTTCCTCTCTGTTTCTAACCATCTTCAAATTAGTTATTTCTAATTTCCCCTTGAGTTGACTTAAGCCTCCCAATTCTTCAATCTGACATCCCTTCTGCTGACCCACAACAAATAATGTTAACATTTGTAAACAAGCTAGAGTACCAACCCCTGCTGGCATCAGGTTTTCAGAACTGAAATAAAGATGCCTCAAATTGACTAAATTCCCTATTCCTTCCAGAGGTCTCACTATGGAATGACAATCCATAAATCTAAGAGTCTGCAACTGATATAACTTGGTGATAAATTTTGGAAATTTTTTGATTTTGGTTTTTGAAACATCTAAGTATCTCAAATGCTTCAGCTTTCTCAATACAGCAGGCAACTTGTCAATATTGGCACCACAAAGGCTGAGGACCCGTACCTTTTTGAGGTTTGCAGGCATGTCGTGAAAGACATCGGTCTTGGAAAGCAATGTGTGCAGTTTTTGCATAGCATCCCCTATTTCTACTGCTGCCATACCTTCATCAGAAACAAGATTCAAATGACGAGTGGCTACCGTAATATTACCTTGACTACCATTCCCCAAAATCATTGTTTCAGGCTCTGAAACAGATTGTGCAAGATCATGAATTAAATCATGCATTTTGCAAGTAATAACACTCCTGTAAGAATCTGTTTTTGCATCTTGAAATAAGGAGGAAGATAACAAGTCATTGAAATAGTCGTCACCAATATCCTCCATCTCCTTGCCACCGGACGGTTGAAGAAATCCATGAGCCATCCAAAGCTGAATTAACATCTCCTTTTCCATGACAAAATCTTTGGGGAAAATTGAACAGAAGGCGAAACATTGTTTCAAAGCTGGTTTTGGCAGGCGACTGAAACTCAATTGCAGTACAGGCAAAACTCCATCAGCCTCTTTTATTGAACCCCATACTTCACACCAGGCATCTTTGTTGCGATTATTGCACAAAATCCCTCCTATAACACTTGCAACTAAAGGTACACCTTTACATTTTTTGGCATTTTCCCTCCCAATAGTCTCCAATTCCTCCAATTCTGAAGGAATAGAAGAGTTGCCAAATACTCTATGCCTGATTACAGACCAACAGTCATCATCTTTTAGCTGGTTGGGACAATGCACATGCTCAGGAAGTACTCCCATCACTGATGCTACATTTTGAATTCGGGTTGTGACGAGGACCCTACTCCCATTCTTTTTACTTATCCCTGACAAACATTGCCTTAAGTCTTCCCACTTCGGCCTCTCTTCATTCCACACATCATCTAGAATAAGGAGATAATTTTTCTCCTCCAACTTTTCTTTTATTTTTTGAACTATAACATCCCGGCTTGTAATATTCTCACAATGACCTTTGCTAAGAGACTCTAGCATCTGTACTAAAATCCTCATCACATCAAAATTATCAGAAACACATATCCACATAATATTGGAAAAATGTCCCTGTATTTGGTCATTGTTGCGCACTAGTTTTGCCAAAGTAGTTTTCCCAAGGCCTGCAATACCCACTATAGAAACTACACAGAGAGGCTGCTGATTACTGGAGTCAATCAATAATTTGACCATTTTTTGAACATCACCATCTCTTCCTATGACTCCTGATGGTTCACCTAGTAAGGAGTCCGTCTGCCGGATTCCTCTAGGTTCAGGAGTTGTTTCAAGTCTGTGTTGAACTTGAAGTCCTAACTCAGTAGCACTGGCGTTAAGGACCTTTAGCTCAGCATTCAAAT